AATCCTAACTTAAAAACTTGTGAAGACATTACGGATATAAATAAAGATTTATTGATAGATAATATTATGGGATCTTTGTCTTCTGATAATACATCAGCTCTTGTGAGCCAGCATAATGACCCACCTTTCAATAGTGAGCAAAATGAAATATCTTGGAAAAAGGAAGAAAATGTTATTAATGAAGATAAAGAAAATTTAATTGTGAAATATAATCCTAACTTAAAAACTTGTGAAGACATTACGGATATAAATAAAGATTTATTGATAGATAATATTATGGGATCTTTATCTTCAGATAATACATCAGCTCTTGTGAGCCAGCAAAATGACCCACCTTTCAATAGTGAGCGAAATGAATATCTTGGAAAAAGGAAGATAAAGAAAACTTATTTGTGAAATATAATCCTAATTTAAAAACTTGTGAAAATATTAGGGATATAAATATAGATTTATTGGTAGAAAATATTATGGGATCTTTGGCTTCTAATAATACATCAGCTCATGTAAACCAGCATAATGACCCACCTTTTAGTAATGAAATAAAGCGAAATAAAATATCTTGGAAAAAGGAAGATAAAGAAAACTTATTTGTGAAATGTAATCCTAATTTAAAAACTTGTGAAGATATTAGGGATATAAATATAGATTTATTGGTAAAAAATATTATGGAATCTTTGGCTTCTAATAATACATCAGCTCATATGAACCAGCATAATGACCCACCTTTTAGTAATGAAATAAAGTGAAATAAAATATCTTGGAAAAAGGAAGATAAAGAAAACTTATTTGTGAAATATAATCCTAATTTAAAAACTTGTGAAGATATTAGGGATATAAATATAGATTTATTGGTAGAAAATATTATGGAATCTTTGGCTTCTAATAATACATCAACTCTTGTTGACCCACCTTTCAATAATGAAATAAAGTCAAATAAAATATATTGGAAAAAGGATGAAATTGAAATCTTACTTGCATTTTTGATAACAAATAAAGAAATGATCAAACAGCTAAATTCACGTGGTTCAATGGCTAATAAAGTTAAAAAGGTTCTCTGGAATTGTGCTTCTACTCAACTTGAGGGCAAATATTCTGCCGCACAATGTGAGATCAAATGGAAAAATATTAAAATGGATTTCAAAGTAATATTTTTTTTCTTTAAAATGGACTGAAAGTTAATTAATAAAACGAAATCATTCACTTTTTTTTATTTTAGAAGAATCCAATATATAAATATAAGACGAAGGTTGAAGTAATTATTGGTATAAGGTCAAGGTTGGTTCAAAAAGAGTATTTTGATAATTTGTATTCCGCATATTCTAAACAATTTATAATAAATTATTAGCTCCTAAAAATACGTAAACGCGGACTCAGAAATTAAAGAGAATAAAGAAAACATCAGGCGAATAATTCTTCATACATTCAGTCTTAGATAATTTGTTTAAAAATAAGTTTGTGTAATAATTTGTATGAAGTGAAACATTTTAATAAAAAATTAATATAAACTGGACAATTTCACCTGCAATAAATAAACTTTGCTAAATTTTTGATGGTACACTCTATAAAGAACTTGACTTGTCTAAATATGAGTGATACGAAAAAGTGTGGAGCCCGATAGGGAAGTGATGTGATCTTGGCAATATTGGAAGCACCTTTGAAAGTTTTAGAGGCATAATCCCTGTCGTTCGCTGTATATAACTTCATGTGACATTTAATAAATGATAAATAAAATTTACCGGCTACCATTATAATTATAACGGGCTGGAAGTGTTATATTTAACTTCATGAACAAACAGCTAAGGTAGTATATTTAAAAAAAATATTGGTGGATTTGCAATACCAATTTGTGATTTGCTTAATGCTTCTGAATTTTCAGTAAAATTTTCGATTATTTAATATATATAAAAAAAAATATCTTTTTTTGATACATCCAGACCCACAGAATATTACATCAAGTTAAATTTTAATTTAAGCTCAAATATTTGTGTAAACAAAATTGTAGGTATATATCCAAGAAAGAAGGTAACTACAATCAACAAATAGATTAAAATAGCAATCTCAATTTTGAGCACACGGACGCTCAAAAATTGAGTTAATACGTTATTAGTTACTTTCGTTACACTGCTCCGGACTTTTAAAATCGCCCTAGTTATATAGTAGTTAATGACTTATTCGCCCGGTAGTATATAAAGCTTATATTGGTGCGGACGGTGCATTTATTTCATAATAATCATGTGACTAAACGTAAATTTATTTGTAGTATTTATAAAAAAAAAGTTAATAAATGATTGATGAAAAAAAAATAAAGGAATTTGATATTTGTGCATTGTAGTTTTGATATGTATCAAAATTTATTAATGGATGCCCAATGCGCAGTTTATTTTGATACGCACTTGAAATTTATTTTCACATGATCACGTGTTTAATATTTAAACTTCTCTTTCGCTTTGTTTATATTTTTCTCTCTTTCTTTCTTCCTTCCATCCTTTTTCTCATTTATATATCTTTTACTACAATTAAAATGAGTGATAATCAACTTTCAAATTTAATAAATGTTGAACTTGGAAATCCCATAATCAGGCGTCCGAAAAGACCTCCAGGAATTTCAAGATACAAAAATCCTTTGGAATAATCATCTAATTCTAAATGAAGATGTTAGTGAAGAAAATCCATACAATAACTTTGGACATAGTCATACAACTCGTCCAAAAATCTTAATAGAAAGAAAGGAAAGCAATTTGATCGGTCGCTGGCTTATATTTTTTCTTTTTTTATCATGTATTCTTAATATTTCGTCAGCATCTTTTTAGCTTTAAAATTTTTAATATAAAAAATATTATTTTTTATGTAATAGGTAGGGTGGGTGTACACAAAAATACGTATGCATTTTTAAATTTTTATCAATGCTTAAAATATTAATTTTTTAAAATTATATTATATGCACCCTACAATTTACGTGCGTAGAAAATAAAAACCAAAAAATAATGGGTATAATTTATTTAAATTCAAAAAATTTTTTTTTCATTGAACAAAATACATCTACATATAATAAATTTGTATTTGACTAATTATTTTTCAAACAAAAAATTAATCTAGATATATGAGAATGCTAAATTTCTAATTTCGTAAAGAATGAAACGAACCGATCTACATAAACGACCGTACTGGTCGTACCGTACCAGTTTTCTATATACAGTACATTATTCTCAAATGCAAACCTCACTTTAATAATATCAAGTTCACGTAATTATTAAAATCCATATCAAATAATAATGATAAATAAAGATTATATTAAAGCTTTTCAGTAAAGTTTTTTAAATTGTCGACAAATTTTATTTATCGTCCAATTTTATAATGCAATAAACTTTTTACTTGCATTTTATATTTTGATTGTGAATTAAAAAGAATATTGTATATGGAAATAATTATGTTCGCGCAAAATGAGAGTCATTACGATAAAATAATAAAATTTGTGTAAAGGTACATTTGAAAATATAATGTCTCCAAAAGAATGATTATTACACTTAAAAACAGGTTATTTGTTTATAAAAGCTAACGAAGAGAATAAAGCAGTCTGAAAAAATATTCGTAACATAATGTTTCAGAGCTTTTGCTGATGTTAATGATATATTAAAAAATAAAATAAATAAAAAAGAAAAGCAACACGAATTCTAATAAAACGTCCTTGTACGTTTTAATGTGACATATGACACTTATTAACTATGATTATAATAAAATATAGGTATAATAAGTCCTTGGCGTAAACATCAATTTAATTCACCGTTTTCTGGTTAAATACCCTTAAAAGAGTTGGTGATGGATTTAAGAAAACATACTATATTCAATAACATTTTTAAAATAAATAATAGATGAGATTTATTCCTTTCGTTATAAATTTCATACAAGTCGTTGTTATATCAAATTAGGTTGGCACTTTGTACCAAAATTCTTTTTTAAAAATGATATGCTTTATTTATTGCTTTAATAAATATAAAATATATTTTTGAGTAGTATTTTTCGATTAAAATGCACAATAGTAGTTATAACTCTGCGTTCCAAATTTATTTTTTAAGCTGTATATTGAAGTAGCAAAATAACAATGTAAGATTTGCTCTAAGTAATAATGCATACTTATGCATAATTAGTCCTTATCTTTATGATTTTGATATCGTAATATTCTTTTTATAAAAAATAGAATGGTTCTAAAAAAATCATAATTTTTATAACAAGTTTTTTTCTAACAGAACCACTAATTCGTTATAGAAAGTGCTGGCGATATTTCTTTTAAAATATAATTCATTTGTGATTAAACTTTATGAACTTATTTGGATTTCTAAAAGTCTACTTCTGTTTTATTTTCAAAAAACTTTTTGGGTCGATTATTGTTTCTGCCTTTTAATTGGATATAAATGTTTTAATTCTTTTTAATTAATAAAGAATTATTTGAATTATTTGCATATCGATATCATTAACACGAAATATTTTATGTCAATAAGCAAAGCCACATGATTGTGGAATTCAATTTTGTTAACTAATCACGAGAATCATATATTAAATTATGCTTCTATCCCTTCACTTCCTCCTCCTTCTGTAACGCAGATGATTTACCCGAGATACATCACAATTTATTTACTGTTTAAGGATAATCCTCTTAAATTATCCTGCTTGCTCTCCATGCAACCATGGCAGTAAGAGCATTTGTGTTACCATTTGGAATCTTGGAAAAATTGAAGCGTCATCAATTCGTAGATTTTAGTTCAATATACTTGAAGTCGATGATTACTCATCCTCCTTGGGATTCTGGTGTCATGTCATCTTAACTGCAATGCATGGATGAATTGATGTATATGACTATTGAGCGAAAAAAAAAATAAATATATTTAAAAATCAATAATTATTGCATTTGAAAATTTCCTTGCCATAAGGTTGGATGAATTACCTTTCCACGAATATATCGTTCCCAATCTTCATCAATCATCTCATCGTCCACTACACCATTTACAAATTATCATTAAATGCAAGTTCTTTTATGTTCAATACATTTAATGGAGGTTGTTTAAGAATTTCACGTGATATTTTTAAAGAGCTCATCATTCTATACAAATCATCAGATTTTTTCATAATATCTGAGAAATATTTTTGTTTGCTTAAATGAACATAAACACTCGATGGGTAACCGTTTCAAAATTTGGAGGAGAACGTTTAGTGCATAAACATTAATAATAAGATCATATAAATTTGTGTAAAATGTATAAAAGATTTAAAATATTTCACATAAATTTTTATCCTTCTAACTTACATTAATTGGGATTTTTTTCATCAAGAAATACTTCGCAACTGGAAAATTTCCTTTAACATTATCTTATGGAAAATTCCAAGATTAAACCCATTAATCTAGAATTAAATTGAGAAGTGCTTTTACAAGAAGATCATGAAGTTTACGTCACTGGCAATTCTTTATGAACAATGATTTTATTTGCTTCCAGATTGTTTTTCGGATCGATTCCTGATCACACAAGATCTTTCAAATTTATTAAAATATAATAATATAAATATATACGACGACGGAATTAATCAGATCATCAACTCATGAAAATTTCAATAGCGAATAATTTTAATTATTACCTGGGCGCAATTAATAGCACCACCATAAATAATCATTTTTTCTGTCAGAGCCAGGAAAGCATTATATTGTTATATTTTCATCTTTACTTTCTTCATCCCAAATAATATTCAACATGTGATCAGGAGATTTAGCATTAACTTTGCAAAGCCGCTGCCAATCCATAAAGAGGACTAATGGTTTTAATGGAGGGTATGTTTCAACCTGTTCAATGCACCTGTCAAATAACAGTCAGCAAGCGAACATCGATTTCCATCTTGTGTTGCGGACAATTGAATTTAAAGTTTATTCACATACTACAAATTTACCTGAAATTTTCCTATTCCATTTTGTCTAGCACTATTAAAATCGTAATTATAAAGAATGCCAAGGTTTTGCAACTTTAATGTAATCTTGTGCAATCTCATAATTATCGTTTTGACTGTCTTGTACCTTAAATCCACGATACTTTTAATTCTTCGTTAGTGTTTTTTACGATGTTAGTGATAGTCTAGTTATGACGCATTAGTACTGCGCCAATTACAATTAGCGAATGATGATCCCGTCGATCATGG